AACTATTATTATTATCTCATTATTATTCTTTTCATCTCAAAACTATTATTTTTATTATTTTCAGGAAACAAGATTTGCGTGAGTTGAAGTTACTGCAGAAACAAGAGAACAAGCAGATCACAGACCTGCAGTACAAGAACCACTTGGCACTAGAGACCAAGGAGAGGAAGTTTGACCTAGACTCCACGGTGAGTCATTGTTCTTCTAAAAAATAATACATTCTGTAGGCTTATGACCTGTGCATGTTGACAATACTTTATGCGTATTATTTGCAAATGTTCATCATTGTGCTTAACTGTAGGCCCATATTGAAAACGTTTCATATGAAATTTGTGTCAACTCTTTGAGTGTTTGAAGCTGTGTTGATGGTGTGTAAAACATTAACACAGGAAATTACACTTACAAACTATTTCAGACATGTTGAAAATGTTGTCCATAAATTTTTGGTCTTATTGTCCATTAAATTTTTGGTCTTATTGTCCTTTAAATTTTTGTCTCTAATCGTGTGTTCTAAGTGGATGGTTGGCGGGTGCTCTGGTGTGGTTTGCTTCTTCTTTCCTATCAAACATGTATCTTCCTTATCTCCCCTTCTTCTTTTTTATGTTTGTTACTCTCTTGTAACACCTCTAATCTTCTGGCGCTCATATAACCTTATGCAGTTGCGAGTGCAGTAAAACCTCTTTAAAAAAAAAAATGTGTTCTCAACTATGTGACATGGTTCACTCATGTCAAGTATCCTTCACAGTGAGCAGTTTGGTGTGGTTTTTCTCCTTCCATTTCTGTTATGTATTTGTTTGGTCATGGTTTTTGTCTGTCGAATGGGATTGTATTATATTATATTTACTCAGTGGGCGGTATGAACGGGCCGCTGGTAGTTCCTACTTCTTTTCTTTCCTTGTATTGTTTCAGTTTGTCTGTCTTCCTTTTTCTCAGCATGAAATGACTGTTAATGCATTAATGTGCATTTCCGTACTCAAACTCAAACGCTAAGTCACCACACTTTTCAGCTCAACAGTACTCCCCCGACCAATTATTTAAAGCAGATGTCGTGTGTAGTTGACGGGTGCTCTAGTGTGGTTTTCTCCTTCTTTCCTATCAAACATCTGTCGTCCTTATCTCTCCTCCTTCTTTCTTGTGTTTGTTACTCTCTTGTACACCTCTAATATTCAGCACTTATATGTCATAATTGTGTTGCAGGTGCCGTAAAATCAAAGCCCATCTCAAAGTCAAAGGCTAACTCACCAAGGACTTTGAGATCAGCTACATTCCCTCGACCAGTGTATAAAGTAGATGTACTGAATTTCCCACATTTGCACTTTTCAGAACCTGAAGAAACACTTTGATCAGGATTTGGATGGGCTGACCAAACAGCAGAAGCAGCTTATTGAGAAGGCAGAACAGGCTCAACAGAATGACATGAAGAATGCAGCCAAGAGACTCAGAGGAGAGCAGGTAACTTAACTCTTAATCTCCATAGGGGATTTTTAATCACTATGCTGGAGCCCTCTATTGGTGCAAAACCTGAGAGTGTTTACATGTCATCAAATTGGTCTTTAAATCAAAATAAATGAACCTGTATGACAGTTTTTCATCTAATGAAAGAACTCCCGATAAGGGAAACCTATTTTGGGCTGTTCTTATTTAATATAATGTCGATCTCGTTGTAAAGAAATGTGACTGTGCTGTTGCCAGTGGATCACCAGCTTGATGGAGATAAGAAGTTACTTTATGTGCTCGCAACATCATTTGATATCAACAGGTCTTGGTGTATCTCTGATACATAAAAGAACACTGTATAATGGAGTGATTCAAGTTGTTTTTATGTAAGTTCATTATGATTCAGTTCTGTTTGCAGATATTATTTTCGAGAAGAAATCAGCATTTAAAGCTTAATTTACAGTGGTTTTTTGTGCCTGATTTTTTAATTAATGTTTAGAATAGTTCTTTATAGTTTTCACTATTGAGTAACATTGTATGGGTATGATTTTATTGATTAAAAGGAGAAGTGACTGACTTGGCTCTAGATGTCTATGGCTCTCTACCCTTTCAAACTCAGCTGAGTGGGTGGTTGGCGGGTGCTCTGGTGTGGTTTGCTTCTTATTTCCTATCAAACATCTATCGTCCTCATCTTTCGTTCTTCTTTTTTATGTTTGTTACTCTCTTGTAACACCTCTAATCTTCTGATGCTCATATGACCTTATGCAGTTGCGAGCGCCGTAAAACCTCTTCTAAAACTAAAACAAAAACTCAGCTGCAGAGCACATTGTTGTAAGCTTTGTCATTTGTTTTATTGATATCACTGGTACAGCTTCTTACAAATAAATTGTCAGTATGGTACAACTTCCTACAAATAAATGGTTAGTTAGAAAGAAGTATTTCTATTTTGTATGTAATAAAACTTTTCTGGCTCATTCTCCAGGAGAAAGAGCTGAAAATGTTCCGTGAGAAGCAGAGACAGGAGATGAAGCTTCTGAAGCAAGAGCTAGACTTGCTGCCCAGGGACAACAAAAAGGAAGCTGCTCAGAAGATCCGCGAGACACGCCAGATTGAGATGGAAGATAAGGTAGGTCAAGAACAGGGCACTTAGTAGGTGTCCCGGTTATTTTGTGAGGGCTCTCTTAAATAACCCCCAAGTGTTGATAGGGGCATTAAACGCATACACTGTATCTTTTTTATTTTATGAGGGTTGAATGATTTTTTCTTTTTTTTTCTTTTCTGTAAGAGGCCAGTTCCAATATGAATTGATGGTGTCCATCTGTTTAGATGAAAACCTTTGTTGAATTTATCCTCAAATGTTAACGAAAAAAGGTCAAATAAGGGGAATATCATTACTGTGGAAGTGGTGGGAGACGATAATTGTTAAGTACTAGGAGCAGGACTTAAAAGATAGGGGTGCTATTGAGAGTATATTAGACCTTACATGACAGACCTATTGCTAATATTGTCTCGCCATGTTTATTACAAAGAGATTTCAATTACATGTTAACACTTAGATTCTTTGTTGTGCTGGTAATACCCTTAATCTTTGATACTTATGTAACCTATTTTTGTTGCTAGTGCCGTAAAACTCTTAATAGACCAACAACAACAAAATCGCACCCAATGCTGTTATTTCTTTCCTTCCCTGCACCAGGAGCGTACGTTTATGGAGAACCAGGTGGAGCGCACAGAGAAGCACATGCGTCAACTGGCAGACCAGCACAGGCAGAAGATTGCCCTGCTAGAGAGCCAGTGTCTACAGCAGAAGCAACAAATGTTCAGAGGTGGGTGGTTGGCGGGTGCTCTTGTGTGGTTTACTCCTTCTTTCCCATCGGACTTCTGTCATCTTTATCTGTCCTCTTTCTTTTGTTTGTCTTTTCATCATCATCCACGGCCAGATCTGCGACAGACTTTGGCGATCATGGTTCTCCATTTTTGTATGTTACGTTCTGGTAAAATCTCTAATCTTCGGCGCTTATATGACCTATCTGTATTGCAACTACATAAAATTCCTAGTAAACAAAGTGTACAGAAGTTGGACTGAGGACATTCGGTCTGTATTTGCTGTAGACTTGTACTCTAATGCTCTTTGACATCTTCCTGGTTCACAATGGAACACATCGTTTGACTCAATTTGGAGTCCAATGAAGGGTAAAGGGGGAAAAGGTGCTGGTACACGCGACTAATGTGAGACTAGTGTTTTGTCCTTATTTTATTTTGTCCTTATGGTGTGCACACTTCGTAGCAAAATTTTTATAGAGAGCAAAGAGTGGTAGCTATGACAGTGCATGATCTAGGATATTATAATACTAATCCATGGTGCTTGCTGACCTGGTTATGTTTTCTCTTAAGTTTGTTAAGTTTGTGACTCTTGGCCCACTACTAGATTATACTAGATACTGTTGGAAGAGACCCAAAGTTTCTCCTGTTCCCCTCAGGTTTTCTGAAGTCTGTTTGCTGTCTGTTATGTAATAGTGAAGAGACAGGTGAAAGGAATGGCTGTATCTATAGCTGCAATATGTACAAAGGCTTAATGGTAACAACAAACGCAGAGTGTGAAGAATGCTTTGTTTTGTACTTTTGAGTGTAAAGTATCAAAATCCTCTTTGTACCCAAAGATGTTTGTAGCTCATGGTGTCTGTCTAAATGTGCTGGTGGACAAGATTTGATCATAATTTTGTGTTGCTTGGTCTGTTTCCTTCTGGAATTTTTCTTTCCTTTTTTTGTCTAAACTCCTGCAGATTGTACATTGATGATGATGTTGTTTTGGGGTGTTCCTGTTTTCGATAGCCTAATGAATGTCTGTGGGTGGTTGGCGGGTAGTCTCATGTGGTTTGTTACTTCTTTCCTATCAAACAGTCATCGTTCTTATCTCTCCCATCTTTTTTTGTGTTTGTTACTCTTTTGTAACGCCCCTAATCTTCGGCACTTTTGTGACCTGATTGTGTTGCAAGTGCCTTAAACACTTACTAAAACTCACTGAAACATTAATTGTGCTTATCTCTCCATCTTTTTTGTCTTTGTTACTCTTTTGTAATGCCTCTACTCTTTGGCACTAATGTGACCTGATTGTGTTGCAAGTGCCGTAAAACTCATACTAAAACTATAATGAATGTAATGCTCACCAGGTCGTGAGGCCAGCATGTGGGAGATGGAGAAGAGCCAGCTCCATGAACGCAACCAGCTCATCAAGACACAGCTCAAGGACCTCTTCTTCGTGAAGAGACATCAAATGCTCACCAGACACCAGAAGGTTCGTTTGAACAGAGTGCAGGCCTGCAAAACTTCCGGACAAATTTTGTCGGGAATTTCCCGAATCAGATGCGCTGCTCTCGACCTCCAGATAACAGTCTTGATTTCCCGATTTCTGAGCCGCGCTATACTATAATATTATTACAATTACTTGCGTGAAAATGACGTATGAAATCGACGATACGGGAGCTCGTGTGTTACTAAAATGTCCAGATTTGCCCCGCGTCCTTTACTGTTTGATGGTTCGGCTACATATAACGCTCAAGTAAATCTGGCAACCGAATTTACGCACTACGTTTACTCGATCCCTACTCTGTGTTGCCTCGTTGGACATAAGTACGGAGATCTTTTTATTGTTTGCGAGACTTGCTTTTGCAGACATATATTCATATATTTCAAAAATATGGGTTAGTTGAGTGTGACAGGAATATGACCTGGCACGCAGTGCGCCACGCTGATTTTCCCTATTTTGCACTTTCAAAAGTTGGCAGGCCTGAGAGTGCAAGAAATGAGTATGTATTTAATCCCTATGTGAGAGCTCCCATACATCAGAACTTATGTCAAACGTGAGCCAGGAGGCCATCTTTCCGTTCAATGTATGTCCTAAAATGCACCATATGGCATCTTATAATTGTTCAACAATACCTGTGAAAGAAATTTTGTTTGAAAAATAACAAAAGAATTGAAATCTCTGATAATAAAAATGTACAAATTACACAAATTTTCGGTTTTGAAAGGGACAGCAAAATGACTGAAACTGCTCACTGTCCTGAATAACAAAAATTGGGATAGTAAAAATTGAAAAAATCCTACCTCATGAATGGGTTAAGGGAATGTTGATGGATGTGAGGATCTAAAGTTACTTGGTCAAGGGATATTTTATGCTTTATGATTCATTCTCATATATTTTTTAGGGAAAACTCTTTGACTTTTGTGATGTGTTGTAGAGTTCAGCTCTTGTCACAAAACAAGAAATGGAGGTCACGTTTTTATCTTTGTAAAGAAATTTGTATTACAACGCCAGTAGGTTATTTATGAGGGAGAACCTCCAAGTTGTCCATCTCTGAAAGGGCCGAGCCAAATAAGAAATATGTGTTTTCCTGAGGACACAATGTCGGACCAAGCTAAGGCTTAAACCCTGAAACCAGCAGTCTCACGATTACGGGTACAGTAGCCTAATGATAATCACAGTCATAATAATAATAATAATAATAATGTAAAAGTCCAGTTATGCAAACGCAGGCTTATTCATTTCTAACTTTATTATGTTTGCACATTTTCAGGAGATGGACAACCTGAAGCGCTACAATCAGATGAAGGAGGACGAGATGGCATCCAGACACAGCAATGAGAAGCGACGCCTGCCCAAGATCCTGAAGAATGAAGCCAAGACCAGGGCCCAGATGTTCAAACAGAGCCTGAGACTGAGTACTGTGGGGAGCCCGGAGGACGACAAGGTCAAGATCAAACAGGTGAGCTCCTCCTTCAAGTTCTAGAGGTGACCCGCGTGTTTACGGTCATTAGCTGCCATTATACATTGTCATCCTTTGACCAGTCCATGCCTTGGTCCACGTTGTTCTTTGTTCGTCCTGGTCCTTTTGCCCCACATCTTACCTTTGAGTTTTTCCTTCTTCATGTGGCAGGACTGTACTCCAATCTCTATCTGTGTGCATTGCACCAGCTGGTGGGGATAGGTGCTTTGACGCAGTATGCTCGTGAACAGTATCTTGTTTGTAGGTGTGGTTGAACCAGCTCTAATGACCATCGGTTTAAGACAATCAGCTTATCCAAACAACCACTTCCCGCTCCTCCTCTCCCCCTCTCCCCCCAGTTGTTTTTTTCTTTATTATAATGACAATGTGCAAGAAGACCGCCTTTATAGAGATGATCACTCTTCTCTTCTATAGTGGGTGTTTTGTCTTTTGGTGCTTTTTTACGCCATATGGTTATCATGGTTAATATTTTCCATTGCTGTTGTCGGTCCTGATGAAGGAGGACAAGATGTCATCGACACACAGTGATTGAGAGAGGAGTGATGTCACTTTTTTAAAGTAACTGTCTTTTACTTCCTCTTGGGATGTTGTTGTGCGAATTTGACAAGAACAATAGCTTAGCTCCACCTTGCATCAATCCATTGTTTCATTCAGCTTGATAATGTTTGGTATATACTGAAGAGCAATGTTTGTTTTAGGTTTTAGTAAGAATTTTACTACACTTTTAACACAGTTAGGTCATATAAGTTAAAAAAATTAGAGGTGTTACAAGAGAGTAACAAAGAGAGATGATAGATGTTTGAAAGGAAAGAAGGAGAAAACCACACCAGAGCACCCTGTTTAATTATACGGGTTTTTCTTTTACATGTGAACTTTCAAGGAATATCTTCCATTGGAGCTGATGTTTTACCTGTAAAAATGACTCAATCAGCTTGTCTTTAATGCTACCTGACTGCGTAGCTGCTAGGCACTTTTGTCCTGCCTTGTATTTTATATCGTTGCATCTCTCCCACTTGTCTGGATCATCTTTAGGGGTTTAGGTTTTCTCTATTTCTGTTGGTACAGTCCATTAAGTGAGTCTGTTGCTGTTCTTGTTATTGTCGCGACAATGAACCTGATTTTCATGTAATTTTTCATTGCCATTTAATGTACCTATGTTAATTTCTCCGAAACTTGTTTGCAGTTTGAAGAGAGTGAGAAGAAACGAATGAAGTCGGAGCAGCTGCGCCAAGAAGAGAAACACAAGAAGCAGTTCAAGGCCCTGATGGACAAGAACGAGGCTGCTGTCAAGGAGCTGGAACAGTTACAGGTGAGGACTTTGGCTGCTTGACTAGTTCTCCCATGCCACTGTCTAGGTTTTGCTGACAGCTGTATTGGTATATCAATAGAGGTGTTTTTATGCCCTCGTCGGCACAAGTTAGAACCTTTAGAAGGCAGGCTTCAACCTTGCCTGTCAGGGCTGTATTGGTATCTTTGCCCTGTGCTGCCACTGGTGTATACTTAGGTGGGTGGGTGATGTTAGATAATTCTTCTGCTAGCATATGGGTGTGAGGCAGAAGTTGAAAATAAATGTGAAAACTGATGCACATTGCAGGTGATATAATTTCCATATTGTAGGATAATGTTGCGATTTCACGATTAGAGTTTATAGCGTCGATAATTTATTGTTGACAATTTTGTCGTTATTTTGGTTTATTTTTCACAAGGCTATTGTCCTCCCTATCCGTATTTTATTAAAGCTACTCTACTGTCTGTCCCTAATAATTCTACTTTTCTTGCTTCACTGTGAATGTATTTTTTCAACCTTTTATTTTACAAAATATTTTTGGACCTTTAGTAAAATAAATGGATGGGTCTCAAAATTTGATCTTTAAAGTTGACGGTTTTGATTTTCTTATTTCTTTTTTTTTGTGTAGGGCGAGAAACGCAAAATGCTCATGGAACAGGAGACCCAGAAGATCAAAGAGCTTGAAGAACAGTTTTCCGCAGACATGAATGAGTGGAAGGCTTTGTTGATTCCCCGCAAGCAGGTAAGTTGACTATGTATTCCCTTGAATGAGCTGCAGGTATTTTGTTCCTGTTTTTCATTCCGAGGATCAGTTACTAACTGACAGATATTATTTACTTTGCTTCGCACGAAAAGATGTACATCTTTTTTTGGGACTAGTTGTATCCTTTCACATCATATACTCGAAATGTGCAATTGTTTGGAGGGCTCCACTGGTAGGTTCTACTTCTTACCTGTATTACCTGTCCTTGGCAACAGCGTCATTGCACACCGGACAGGTTCATATGTGATCAGTTCCTCTCAGCACCAAAGCCTGCTAGGTGTCCATACTCTTTGTTCCAGTGGCTGTTGTAGAAGTGTTCCTCTTCTTTTCTGTCCCTTTGATGTTTCTGTTTGTCTGTGGTGCTTTTTGCATGTGCTAAGAGAATTTTGTGTATGGATGTGCTTCTCCTTACTAAGACAAACAAACAAATAGCCAGACAAACACATAAGCACTTGGAATCAATGTTATTCCTTTTCTCCCTGAAGTTTAGCATTTAAATACTGAACAGCCGCCTGTGTTGTATGGTTTTTCTTGTTAAGTTGGTGGTCATCTCTAGTGGACCGACTGTATTTGTAAGTCATATGTTGTCGCGCGCGCTCCCCCCCCGTGCAGTGCTACTGACTGAAGTGTCTTTAGGCAATTCCCAAAGTGGGGACATTAACTTGTCCTTGTGCACAATGGAATTGTAAATGGGCTGATACAACAATGTCATGCTCATAACTGTGCCTGAACTTCAACATGGAACTGCTGCTTTTTCTTTCCTTATCATTGCTACCGTCATTTTTCCTCTACATCTTTTGTATGTTTGTCACACTCTTGGGACCCGCTATTTCCGGGGTGCCTTGATAGTCAAAGCAGACTTTGTGCTGTTGAAGATAGAGAGGTGAGCAGAGTAAGTCTGATTCCCTGTAAGGACTTCTATGTTGACATCTACCCTTTGGTGCTGTGTCCATACAGATTTCATTGTGCACCTCAGATTTGATGAAATACCTTTTCTAAACTCATTTTATGGATTTCCACTTGTATTTGCCAGAAATCGGAAGCAAAATATCTAAACAGAACCAATCGATTTGTTAACGAAAATGTAAATATGTTTAGAGAAACATCAACGGGCCTTTGTTTTGATCTAGGTCATATCTCTTGTGACTATTTCCGAAAACAGGTTTCTTTTACCGGAGTTTCATTCATTAGATGAAGAACTTTCAAAAGACATTCACTTGTTTTGATTTAATGACAAATTCAGCAATGTACATGTCATTTTAGATTTTGTTCCAAAAGAGTGCCCTGGTACAGAGGGTTTTGCTCTCCTCTCGGATAAAAGCTGAAGAAAAGATCCAGAACTTGGAAGTGAATCATTGACTTTAATTAGATTTTTAGATTTCTGTAAATGGCATTTAGACGCTGACTGGAACATTTCAATTGTTAAAACCTCAAGAGAAATAAGTTAGGCTTCTAATATTTTGAAAGTTGAACTTATTTTTTTTTGTCTTGCAGGCTCTAGAGGAACAGTTCCAGCGAGAGACGGAGGAGCAACAGTCTTTTTACGCTGATGTTGTCTCTGCTGATATTCCTGGCCTTCCCAGCACCCGCCAACCACCCTCAAGTCAACGGGGCAAGCAGAAGGATGGTTCTCTCAGCTCGCGTCACTCAACGGTCATATGATCATCCCTTCCCCACTCTGCTCTCGTTTCGACTAGACATTTGACATCGGGCGGTTCGCACACTGAGCCAAGTCATAGTGAAGGCAGTATGCACTGTGAAATAAAATGAGAAGTGTGTGAATAGCAGGCTAAGGCTTGTGAGTTTTGGAATGAATGGTTTGTTACCATTCTTATCTTTTTTTTTCTGTCATGCACATAAGGAAGTGGTGCAGTTTACTTGTCGCTGTCAGATCGTATTGTTATCTGCGTGCCGGTTCGGAAACACTGACTTAGATACTGCACCTGCCTTAGTGTGTGTATACCTGTATGGTTGCATGATAATTTTTTTTTCAAAATTTTCATATGCCGGTTATGTGAGAGTTTCAGATTGGATCAGAAACTTGTCTGCCTCTTTTCATACTTCCTTTTAAAGATGAGTGTTTCAGCTCACTACATAGGGGTAGTGACACACCCTGAGGGGTGCTCTTTGATTTAATTGATGTGTGTAGTTTATAGACACTGTGAGTGGACTATACTCATGAATTGTTGACTGTACTTGTGGAAGGTTATATTTCTTTCTTTTTCTTTTGTCAGTTTCCTTTCTTTTTGTTATTTTCAATGGAACATCCTTCCCAATGAGTTGTGGCTATGGTCATATTGTATATTTTATGGCCTGTAAAAATCTACGCATATCTAAATCAAATTGTGTAATCATTTTTTTATGGCCATTCGTAAAGGAGGATGACAGTGCAGGTCTTATGTGAAACTCGGTGCCGAAGATTTCTTCTCTCGTGAAAAATATGCGAAGATGTAGTGGTGCGCTTTAAGGAATTTTGACAATGCATAATAGCTAAAAGTACTAACTTTGATGTAGATATTTAGAACTAACTGTAGTTAGCACAAATGGCTCGTAGTCATCAGTTTTGTAGTTGTCTAGAATTTGTAGAAGAAAAAATATCCAGTCCGAAAATAATCGACAAGGAAAGGGCCTGCTTTAGCAACAGTTAAAAGCAAAATGGTTTTAGTTTGGAATATTCCTCAACTACCAAGAGTTACAAATCTATTAAGTACGTACTAAAATCCCACTCTTGAAATGGTTGTAACAATTAAAAAGATAGGTTGTTCTAATTCAAAGGATATTATCCCTTTGGACAGTTGAAATTGCTCAATTTTAAGAAGATTTTAAAACTACTGGGATGGGGCATAAAAGTTAATTGAATTTTCTTTTTCTTAAAAAAAAAAATTATTTCTGTTTTCAATTAATTTGTGTTGTTAGTAGTCATTTTGCTGTGAAGAATATTTGTAGTTTCTTATTTTATTACCACTTGTCCAATTTTGTTGAAAGAAAAAAAGAACACTTTTCTACAACATGCCTTTAATCTGTGACTAATTTTGAACCAATAGTGATACACTTTGTCTCCAGACATGAAGCCATACTCGAACAGCCTCTTGGCCTTATGCTTATTAATGGGGGAATAGAAAAAAAGTTTAAAGTGAACATATTTTAAAAATTTAATGTTGGAGGCCAAGCAATTTCAGAATATTTTATGGTATATACTCAGTAATTACAAGTAAATGATTATTCTTTGTGTGGAATTGTATTGAATTCATACTTTTTGTTCCCATGTAAGAGAGGCTGGAAGGTTTCAGATGGTCATGGATTTACTTCATTAATGCTGAACTTTTCTGTTGCCTTTTAAACCTTCTATATTGTTCCATTGCATTCTCAGCTTCTCATTTGTACATCTGAATATTCACGTGCTTAGCTACTTTGAGTAAGCCTTGGAAATTTGATGTCATGCTTTTGTAAACAGTTTCTTACTTGTTTTATTATTTTGTTACGTTTACGTTCTTTATTTTTCAAATTGTCTTTCACCATGTATTTATTTCACCTGGTAGATACCTTGAGGATGTATGGCACTTGCAAACAACCTGTATCTGATAATCAAATTTGTCACTGTGCACATGCACATCACAAACATTCTCTGAGGCTGCACATGTGGAATTTTGCCCCAGGAGGTCATTTCGTCAAGGCTGTGCACTCAATGGTAATTTCTGCAAAATGTCTCTTATTTTTGTTTTTGTAGTATATCTGTACACACATGAAGTTGTTGTGAACAATAGGTGTGGTCTGTCTCCAATGGTGATTTTTGACTAAAAGACTGAGTTTGTATGTATTTTCAAGTACAGTTCTCATTCATCGACGTAGATATCACAGGGATATTGGGTGCTATGCTGTCTGCCAGCCTGTAAGTACAGAGTATAAAAAAAAAGATCGCCAGAGTGATTTTCTGTGGTGTCTGTATAAGTGTGTATTGTGAGCTCGTGTTTTTTCTACACCTGAAACAACTGTGTTTAAATATGTGCTGTCCACGTTGTGTCCACTGACCCATCTATCCTCACTGTTTTGGTGCATGACCTCATTGTTCTTTGCTTATTTTTAAGACATGTAGATTTTGTACTTAAAAGACTTGGTCAAATTCCGTGTATATAACCTAGATCCTGCTGTTCTTCTTGCCTAAGGTCTGTCTAGACTTTTGCCCCTGACTGAGACATGCGGAGCACAGACACCTTGGTTTATAACAGGTTGACAGTAAACAAGCCATTGCTGGGATGCGTTTGTCCGTGAACGTGATTTAGTTTGCAGTCTTTAGATGCTTTATGGAGATATGTTGAGGCAGGAGGACAAGGGGGGATGTAGAGGGAGAGCAAGAACGAAGGGGATGATGTCAGAAGTGAAGTTTATGGATTCTTTGGCACAGCATTTTATCTCCCTGCAACTAAAAATCGTGTTTTGTAAATGTTGCCTCTAACATATGAGAAAGAAAATCATGAGTATTCTTATTTTGTGTATAAATTATGGTTGCCTTATAAAGTCTCTCTATGTTGACTCCTTAGTGTTGATTTTACTAAAGTTCTGATTGCCCCAAAGAAGTTGGAACGTGTCCTCCCTCTGCACTCCTATTGTCCTCTCTCAGTGCTCTCATCCAGTCACACTGGTGCTGCACAACACCTGTGGTTACTCCTTAAACCCATGTTGCCTACCACTGGGACATTTGCTGAGATTAGGAACCAAGGGACATTGCCAGTTGGCTGCCACCTACGATAGTTGGTGTGCGCTATGGCGTTACTGGATGTAGAGTTGTGTTCTGTGCCCACTGGGGTGGGATTTGTTGGAGACTTTTACTGTGCTCGTAGAACACTAACACCACTCAAGCTGGAGTCTCATGTATATATAGATGTGGCTATCTCCTAGCTTCTAGCTGTCCACATTCCACTACTTGATGATGTTTTTCCCTCTCCAACACCAGCACTCACTTCGGTGTTGAGATTCATGATGACTGAGACTTGCCAGGCAATGTGATTGAATGGACTACGTTTGATATGTTCTGGTATTGATCAGGGTGTCGGAATTGATTTGTACTTTTACTACTGCTCTGATCCGATTTTCCTGTCCGATAGAAGAAGTACAGAGAGTGAATGTTTTGGGCCAGAGCCAGCACACCCGTGCTCTCAGTCTTACCGCTGTGTGTGGGATGAGGACTTGAGCTGATGTCTGAATAGCGCAAAGGCTGTGTCGGGGACAAGGCGGAGGGCTGCAGCTGTACGTGTTCCCATGAGACTCTTTTCACCATCAGTGCGTTACATCCTGGCCAGTTTGCCTCGTTTCCTATTGATTCTTGTAAAGTTTGGGCTTGCTGTAGCAAGTTGTAGCAGGAGCTGTAGTGCTGGTTCCCAGTTTCCTTGTTGGTTTTGTCCAGTTAGCAGTATACCCAGTGTCCAGGTTTCTAATTGTTTATGCAAACTTGTATATAACTTTATTGATTTCTGCATGTTCTGAATGTTACAAGTATTGCCCTTTTGCGTTTTGTCTCAATACTTAATTCTAAGGAGTATTAATCACTGGTAAATATTCTTGCGTGCAGTGAGCCCCACCACAGATTCAGTGCGGTGTGTAGTTTATCCAGAGCACATGCTTTGTGTGTGACTGCGAATATTGATCTCCTTTTTAAAATAAATGAAATTTCATTCACCATGTCTTGGGAAATGACTAGATCAACCTCAATTTTTGTGGTTTCTGAGGTTTTCAATCCCTTGAGTTTTTTTTAACAAGTTTTACTTCAATTTGGGAATGTGGCATAAACAATGTTCATGGTAACACATATTTTGTGAATGTGCCATGCTTCTGAAAATTTACATTAAGAGTAGTAAGACTCCTCCATTACGCCCCTTCCTATCCTTTAGTGTAGAACTTTGCAAGGAGAAATTTGCCAATGGGAACGCTTGCTCAAGATAGAGTAATTAAGATGACAGTGTGTAGGTTTTACTTTGTGATGACGAGGCACTTGACCTGTTTGCGGATCTGCTGGCTCAGACTAAGGCTAGGCACTAAGTGTGTCCTGTACAGTTTTCCTTTTCTTATGGAACTGGATAGCAATAGTACTTAGTATGAGAGTTCTCTCTTTTCTTCCCTTCTTTAATGCTGGCGACACTTCACTGTACACAACTTGTATAGTTTACACCATTTCGGTATATCATAGATTTCATTTACTCCTACTCCTAAATTTGGTTGGCAAGAATACTCGTGTAGAGTTTATGAAATATAGCCAGAGTTATGGATGTCATTTTGTGAATGGATTTGTTTGCAAGTATACGTCATTTGTATTACGATTGAAGAACTTTGGAATAATGTATGAGGGGCCGCGTCACTTAGAAATTCTTACTGGCACAGCACCAGGCCAATCTGTTACAGGGTCACTGTAGAAAGTAGCTGTCACACTGTACATATTGCACTGTTTTACAGCTTCCATTTGGCTGGCTCAGTGATGAGCTGTCCCCTTAAGTTCCTTGCTTTTGCCCCCCCCCTGACCTACGTCTGAATTACTTTTTAGTAATTTGATGTACCCCTTTCTTTTCATGAATTATGAGTGGATCTCCATAATAATGATTGCTTTTTGTGAACCATTCAATTTTCAAAGATGTTGGGGGAGGGGGGGGGTGTCAAACATACTAGAACCGATGACTATCACCAAGCTTAATACAACTTGTTTGTAAAATTGAGGAAAGGAAATAAGGCTAAATAAAGAATAATAGCAAACAGTGTCTGATATTGAAATATCAGTGGGTGCCACATCATCCCATCTTTTAATACTTTTATTAAAGTTGTGAAACAACATTTTTTTTGCAACAATTTTACTGTTCTCAAAATACCGGTGAAGTTTCTTGGTGATCCATAATAAGGACCAGTTATTGACTGAGTGGGTTCCTGTACCACATGCTGTTGTCCAGCCAGTATTCCAAGCTTCAATCAGGTAATTTGAGGCAACTGCATCATGAGTAACTGTAGGAGCTTAAGGGGTACAGTGTATGCTGTAAATGCCAGATGCCGACAGGTGCTCAGTCTCTTTCCTTTTTAAAAAAAATGATAAACGATATGTAGCATTGTTATAATCCGACAAGTAATCTCATAACAAACAAAATTAACTCTCTCTCTTTTTTGGAATTTTGGGATCTCCCATATTTTTTAGATTTAGAAGTAAGAAAATGAAGTTTGCGTTAAAGATGCCTTTTTTTTTTGGCGGATTTCCTGGACAGACGCACCTCACATTAACGGAGGATAAGATAGTGTTGCTCCTACCCACATAATGTAAATCAGTTTATTTCTACTGTAAAATTCCCTTTGCCACATTCAGATCAGTATGTTATGTTTTCTCTAAAATTGCTGAAATTATACAAATTTATATCAAAACTTGTTAATGTCTTGTACTTGGACAATAAAGCTATTTATTTTGAAACCACAACTTTTTTGGTCTCATTTGTTGTTACTTTTTAATATCATTTTATGGGGTCGTTGCCTCGAAAATGTATAAAAAGGATGTTTGTTAAGGTTGACCACCTCTATTTGTGGGTGGTTGGTGGATGCTTTGGTGTGTTACACCCCTTCTTATCTATCAAACTTCTTTCTATTATCCTTTTCTATCCTTCTTTATTGTATTTGTTGCTCTCCTGTAACATATCTACTCTTTGCCACTTTTATGACTTTTTTTTTTTTTTTTTTCCCCGTGTCCTGATTTTGGTGCCCGTTTTTGTTGGTTACGTAAAAAGAAAGTAATGGTGCAGATTGTTATATGAAAGGGGAATTGTTGAGTCGGTAATGATGATGATGATGATGATAATGCTGATGATGATGATGATGTTGTTGGCGATGGTGACGGTAATGGTAATTGTGATAGTGAGCATGAGGATGATTATTTATGTTGGCGATGATGATGTTCCGATGTAGGAAATGACATGCGTGTTAGTCTTAGTGTTAAGTTTGTTTGTGCTTACTCTAGATCCCCGCCAGGCTGTCCTGGGGGGCAGGACACAACCCTCATTCCCAACTCCTCGCATAGAGTGACCAAAAATTTGGAAATAATTCGTCATCTTCATCCCTAGCATTTAATAAAAGTAGGCCGAAAAATCACATGGGGGCCGCTTCTAAGTGATGACATTGTTAGTGTGTTGGAAGAGGCTAGCCGTACTTAATGACGGCTAGACTGTACTTAAGTACGGCTAGACTTACAGTCTAGCCGTACTTATTCTTAATATGATGGCTAGACTGACCATTTACAAAAAATAGGCCTACTGAATTGTAAATATACATTTTTAGTGTGCAGTACCTAAAGTATTTGTATTTGAGACAAAACCAGGTTCCTTAATGACTGTGCATGTATTTTAAACCTCCTGTTTTCTAATGTAAATAGGGCCTAAGATAAGTACGGCTAGACTGGCAGTCTAGCCGTACTTAAGTACGGCTAGACAAGAAGTCTAGCCGTACTTAAGTACGGGTAGACAGCCAGGCTAGCCGTACTTACGGACGGGTAGACTGTCAGTCTAGCCGTACTTAATATTGATGGCTGAATTGTAAATGAAAATTTTAGTTTGCAATGCCTAAAGTATTTGTATTTCAGACAAAACCAAAAGGTGCCTTACTGACTTGCATGTATTTGAACCTGAATAATAACTAGATCTAGATCTCATGAGACCTGTGTACTTAACAGGATTGAGTCGATTGGGCCAAACCTAGATCTAAGTACGGCTAGCCACTTCGTAGTGTGTTTGTTACCCTACGTCTATGCTATCACATTTTCAAAACAGTGAAAGGAATGTGGCCAATAATCTTCGTAAAAATTAACTTTCATAGTCAAAGCAGACTAACTTGTGTGCTTACAGGTTATCGTTATCGTCGTTCGCAACCGGTCCCGAGGCACTTCTGTGGTCGTCGGAGCATGTCAAAAGCCTGAAAAACCATGCCTAGACGACCAGAGAATTACAGGATTGCCTCTTCCTAAAGAGTGATCAGCAAATTCACCACAAGTATATATCAATACATTAATGCACACAAAAAGCAACACGCAGTACTGGAGGACCGGAAGCGAAGTTGCCACTTTTATGACCTAATTGCGCTGCAAGAGCTGTAAAGTGCTTACTAAAACAGAACAACTCTAATCTTTTAGACTTATATGACCTAAATTGTATTGCAAGGGCTGTATAAAACTACAGATAGCTCCTAATCGTTTATCGTACTTGATGTGAGCGCCATAAAACTCTTACTAAACTACTTACTAACTAAACATCACCATTTGAATCCTGATACATGTAATACATTATGTAAAATAACTTCTTAATACTCTTACCGATTTTAGACCACCAAGGGATCTTTAACTTGCGCAACTTGCACACGGGCCCTCCGAGATTTTTCGTCCTTGTCCGAGAAGGCTAGGTGTATATCTTTCCTACCAGAAGATCAGGTGTGTGGCTGAAAGACAACAGTAAGAAGAAGCGAAGGAGTAGCAGTAGTAGAAAGGCTGCAGAAAGAATCAGGAGCCCAGAGGAAGGGGCAAAGGAGCAGAAAGAGGAGACGAAAACAGACGACAGAACATTGCTAGAGAGCAGGAAATGAGATGAAAGGAGACAAATTTAGAGAAGAAAATTTTCGGTCGCTACCCGGATTCGAACCCGGAACCTTTGAATGAGAGGCCAACACCTTAACCTCTTGGCCTCATTACTCTCTTGTAACACTACACCTCTAATCTTCGGCACTTATTCTTATATGACCGTATCGTGTTGCAAGTGCCGTAAAACACTTACTAAAACTGAAAAACACCATCGTCATCTTCGCCTCCATCATCACTTGAACCGTTGATCGGAGGAACAAAAAAAGTAAATAAATAAATAAATGTACAGTTTCCAAGGAAACTCACGCTTTGGAACTCACCAAACTTTGGCAACCATTGTCTCGATAATTTTACCCCCCCCCCCTTTTTCCATTAGGGACATCTCAATTTGTATTTCAAATATAATATTCATTTATTATATGGTGCACAATAGAGCTTTTTATCACCCCGAGCAATAAATAAATTTTAAAAAAATTTATACATTTTTTAAATTTTATTTTTTTATTAAAAATTTTTTTTATTTTATTTTATTTTAAAAAATATAATGTATAGATTGATTTTGATATAAAAATAATTGGTTCTGTAGAGACTGAAACCGAATGCAATGAAAATCGATGATGAAACTTTCACAAAACTCAGCTTTGGAACAAACAACAGGAAGACATTATATAAGACGTAACAGATAAAAACGTTTTTCGCGTATCTTTTAACAATTCTGCATAAGTATCATTTGAATTTGAAACATTTCATACTTACTGTTCAAAAGGATTTGTCCTTTTCTGTGAAAAATATTATACAATAAAACCAGATTTTCCACGCAAGACAAACCCTGCTGAATAAAATAAAATGTGGAAAAATACAACACTCTTGCCACTTAAAACGACATGAAACCATTGTGAAACAGGTGTTTGAAGTTGAAGGAAGGATGTGGGGAGGGGAGCCAGGGGAAGACAAAGAGTAACATGTTTAGGCAACATAAAAACACGGACTAGCCATAAAACTCTTACTAAACTACTTGCTAACTAAACCAAAGATAGTACATAACAAGATGGGCCACTTCTCTCTTTGAGCCAATTAAAAAAGTTTCATCATCGATTTTTTGGCTAAGTGGCCCATCTTGTTATTTACTATCTTTGACTAAACATCACCATTTGAATCCTGAGAATACATCATATACAACAACTTCCTTATTTAGTCACTCCATGGGAGGAGTTAAGGAGGAGGATGGAGACCTTTTGGACAGCCAGGAGGGTTGGAGAGGGTTGGGCTGGTGAATGTGTGCGGTATAGCAGAATGTGCAAAGGAAGCTCGTGACCGTGAATGATGGAGGGTCATTATACGTCAACCTCTGAGTCAGAGATGATACTCCAGATACAGGTGTAGGTACCGTCAGACCTCGGTATATCGCTAGGCTACCCTTGGGACGAGAACGAAGTTGGCACAACAGCGGGGCTGGATGTTCATCGGGGTTTCTCTGTTGTAGGATATTATAGCTCCGGCTGCCCAACGTCAAGGAACATGATTCTGCTGCGCGGTTGTGTTTGAAAAGTGTCTTTTTGTTGATGATCAACATGTACTCAGAGCCCAGAGTCTTTTCTCTTTTTAGCGGGAGAAAGATTGTCGGGTAGCCAACTGGAGGGCGTTGTGCGCCATGCGCAGTATAGGCAAATTTCTATTAGTTAAATAAGGACCGTACAACTCAGACAGTTGGCGAATAGCGGTTGGCAGTGTGAAAGTCAAAGAGACTATGTATAGAACTGGCGGTAGGCGGGGCTGGCGGTTTAACGGTGAGTGTGTGTGTGTGTGTGTGTGTGTGTGTGTGTGTGTGTGTGTGTGTGTGTGTGTGTTGTGTGTGTGTGGGGGGGGGGGAGGGGGTTAATGGTTATAATGGTTGATGAGGGTTAACTGCAGTTGTCCCCCCCAAAAAAACAACAAAACAACAAAACAAAACAAAAAAACAAACAAACAACCAACCCAACAACAACGACATAATAATAAAAACAAAGCAAACAGTTTATCAAAATTTGTTCCGTGACTGTAAAATATGAAAATCTAAATCCAAAGCAGGAACCGGCATTAAATGATACGGTAAAAGAAAATTACAAGCAATAAACCCAAGTGTCTGGCATGTAAACGCGTGTCTCCAATAAATGCATTTTATAGAGCTTAATGAGTTAAAGGAATGTGAATCTTAAGTCCTCTGGCATGGGGAATAATGGACTTCACATACAATTTGGTAAAAGCCAAGTTAAGGTATCAGTAGACAGTATTTTTGAAATAATTAGAAAAGGTATGAATAACAAATACAATACAATGCATATCAATAAGCCCTCTCTAGTGGGCTATTCCTTCGAAACATTCAATGAAATAAGAATTCTCAAAAAAAGGCTGGAGAAATGGAGAACTTCTTTCAGCTTGATTGCAGTGTAATGTCCAAACATTCAGTCAGTTTTGCTTTCAAACAATTTTGTTTGTCAGAGTCCCAATATTTTCAATGCCAACTTCCACAACATCTCCTCTCTGAAACGAGACAAAGTGCATTGATGTTTTCATTATTTGCTTTCAAATAGATCTATACACATACGGCTATTACATTCTATAGTGCGGCTAAAATTCGTGGCGTAATTTATAGTCAAATATTTCCTAAACTATCGAACATCAACTCTCCAGCACTTGCACAATGACTCGTATCAATTTGTCTTATCAGATCAATACTGTTGTAAACACCTGTTAGCTGTATTCTAGAAAATTCCTAAATACTAAGCTGAATTAAAAATTCAAAGTGGTTGATTTCTACAGAATTAAGAACGTAAACAATTTATAGATAGCGAGAAGAACTAGCGTCAGCAAGGGTAAATCTAATTAATCACGACTGTAAATCTATTTAACCGAAGTAGCCATAATGAGAGAGAGAGAGAGAGAGAGAGAGAGAGAGAGAGAGAGAGAGAGAGAGAGAGAGAGAGAAAGAGAGAGAGAGAGAGAGAGAGAGAGAGAGAGAGAGAGAGAGAGAGAGAGAGAGAGAGAGAGAGAGAGAGAGAGAAAGGCGGGGGGGGGGGGGGGTCCACAGTTTGAGTGAAGGCCAACAACCTCTCTATATGCTGAAGGCAATAATAGTGTAGCCAAAGATGTGACCAAGACAGTTTACAATGTGACAAGACGAGGCCTAAAATGGAATCATTAGTGGAGGAGGTTAGGAGAGGAAGGCCAAGATCCATCTGGGCACGAGATCTGAAGGCAGATCCCAGGCATGTGCGACGTTGCTGGTTCGAGGTTGAGAAGATAGTCAAGAAAACAAAAAGAGACAGGAGGAAGCTCTTTTTATCAACCTACTCGTATACCCAAAACCAGTGTCTAAGAGGCAGATGATGGTATCACAGAAGTGTTCAGTGGTAGACCAAAACTCGCTGGGTAGACATGGCCTACACACTTCTGCAGCATGTGGGGGAGCCTGTGTTCATAATGAAGGCACATACAGGCCTGTCCAGTAGGCTATTGCAGACACGTGAGTCAGTACTCACTTCCTCCTCAAAAGAGATCTAACACTGCGCACAACTAGCCATCATTCTGTTCCGTGAAATTAAGGCCTTTGGTTAGATCTACGTAAAGTTGTAACAGAGATTGCATCATGGCGGGGTATAAGGAACGAAAAGGCTTAGAAAAACGGCTGGTCCTAGCAGAGGTGGATAAAAAAAAAACTTTAAAAAGACCTGTTCTGCAAATCTAAGTAGGCTTTTCTAAGGGACTATGAACCATGCACGTTGGCGTGGCGCATGGGGTATTATTCCTGTTTTATTTTGACATAATTGTCCTGTTTCTTCCTTTACATAAACAGCAATTCGTGCAAAATGAAACGATTGCTGCATCATTCCTATTTTGCTATGTGCATGCCAGACTGTGAGTGTAAAAATAGAGCATGCTACACTGTACATACATCTTTAAAATGCTATTTGCTATTGATATTTATTTTTGTACTACCTTGAGGAACTCTGGAGGCTTGCGGGAAAAGCCAACACCAGGAGGGGTGCCAGTTAGGATTGTGTCCCCTGGTTTCAGAGTGAAAAATCTGTGCAGAAAGAAGCAGTTTGAGATGCAAATGATGTTTTGCAGCCATCACTTATACCAATATATAGGTCTTATAATAGAAAGGAAGTACACTATCAGTTCATCAACTAAAATCAAAAGTTGTCAATGGCAACGAAGTCGGAAGATTCAGCATTCAGAGCATCAAACACAACTAAAATTTTAAAAATTCTTGAGTACTTACAGTCAAGATTCAGAATTTCACATTGAAAAGGAACATGTACATACTTTTTCATTGTCATTTGAATCAATTAATCAAAACTATAATTACCAAAGAAAAAAGATTTACCTTGAATAAGGCATTAAAAGTTATACATGTACAATGAGCATTCAAATCCTACCAGAACAAGCAAGGATATCCAGACAATTTGTGCCAAAAGTGCATGTTCTTTTTTATAAAGGATTTGAACATACATCATGGTTTCTGTTTTCCTGGGTTTATAGCCAATTCTGTATAGATGCTGAGACCCATAAGATTTTCCATGGTGAAATAAAGATGTACATGGCAACATACTAACCTGGAAAGAAAAGCGATTAGCTCTTCTGTCTTAAATACTAGCTGCTTTGTATTACTGTCCTGCTTTGTAACACCGTTGACTCGGGTCCACACTTTTAAATTGTGTGGATCTGAAAAGACCAGAGAGAGAATTTTATAAACACCTGTTCTACGTTCTTGCATTAATCAAAACATGTGCAATGGACAGACAAAGGTACCACGGGATTCAAACTGCTAAAAAAGCGGTATATTTATGAGAACGAAAATGTTGATATGTAGGGGAAAAACACACTAAGTCGGAAGAGAAAAACAGTTCTAGGTTAAAAACTGACGCAGTCCCCCAGAGAGTGATTTAAAGATATGTATATATGTACAAATAAAAAGGGGGGAAAAACAACAAACTCATAAATACTTTTAATTAAAACTGAGCCTTTATTTATATATGGACATACAAAATAAATAGGCTACCTTTCAGAAACACTGTCCCAAAACAAAGATAAATATGCCTTTGGTCATTGGAAGCATTTTTGTATTGTTGATGCTATGGTTACTGTCGTGTGTTTGGGGTACCGGTACCCAAAGTTGTATGTGAATTGAACGGTATCCTATTCATTTTCAAACTTACCACAACCCTTTCAGCTTCATGTGGTGGTTAGTGTAATATTCTAATAAGTAAATACAATAAGCAATATTGATGATAAAAAACACAAACCTTCCAAATCTTCTTTCATGACAATGGCAGGTCCTAGAGGGCAGAAGCCATCCATGCTTTTCCCAATCAGGCCGTTTTTGTACTTTATTTGCCAGTCTCTGGCACTGACGTCATCAGCGATAGTATACCCAAATACATACTGCATTGCTTCCTCTTTCTGAAAAAAAAGGACAAACAAAAGAGACATAGGCTACCATCTGTGTTTGAAATATAATCATGCTTTTGTTATAAAACTTTATATATAGTGCAAGAAAACCCAAGGAAAAGGCAAGGTGTGGGAAGGATGGGGAGGGATGCAAAGTGCAGCAAGCTCAGGTGAAACTCTAGTGGGCCTAGTATGAAACGGGACTGGCAGCAGGGCCATAGTTTGAAACAAAGAGTTCTAGCCAGAATAAAAATAACAAAAGTCATCACTTAATCACAAGTAAATTAATAATTGTCAACAACATAGAATCATCTCCAAATTAAAACTTGAGAAGTCAGGTAGCAATAGCACCAAAAAAAAGTCTACATAAAGCAACGACTTATAGTAAGCATATAAAAAAGAAAACGGCACTTGACAATTCATTAAGGTGGCAAGTCTCTATGCTAGTTTTCTATGCCACAGTTTAGTGCAAAACGATTTCAAATTCAGTATACGTCTGATAAATAAAAGCTCACCGAAATGTTCTTCCCTTCTTTTCCAATCACAATAGCCAGTTCCACTTCCCAATCAAGTTCCTTCACATGTGAGAAAAAAAGGGGGAAAAAAAGACTTACAATAGTACATATTTTCAGACAAATATAATTTTTTTGTATATCATTCTGTCCGGTTCAAACTGGCGTAAGAGCATGAACACAAAAGCTGTAGCCCTATATTCGGTAATCAGTTATTGGATAGCCTCTTCCCCGTTGTTCTTTGGTGTTCTATTCGCCTCCTACTTCCCTGGGTTACCTTACCTGGGCAAGGACCGCCCAGTGAGGACATAGAGGGATTTTTTTAACGAGGACAGAAGCACCTACCTCGTTCAGCAGTCAGTGCCCAAAGCAAAACCACCCCATCCCCTTTCCCTCTCCCCTTTTCCACCCTCACCCCAGCCAGACTCTAATTTCTATAATTTCAGCATTTTGATACAGTTCCCCAATCAGCTTAAAATAAAGTTCTGAGAAGTGAGAAGTGCAATGAAGAAAAAGAAGAACCTTTGAATGTGATCGAAAATTGTTGTGTGCTAACTTCCTTTTCAATGTGTGTGTG